ATTTCAGTGCCATAGGGGGGACAGGGACGGGCTGGGATTTCAGTGCCATGGGGGGGACAGGGACGGGCTGGGATTTCAGTGCCATGGGGGGGACAGGGACGGGCTGGGATTTCAGTGCCATAGGGGGGACAGGGACGGGCTGGGATTTCAGTGCCATGGGGGGGACAGGGACGGGCTGGGATTTCAGTGCCACGGGGGGGGGGGGGTGGTTTCTACTTGCAGAAAATGAATTCCTCTTTATCACTTGCTGTGCTGCAGGGGGCCTGGAGTGCCTGGAAGCGCCCCCAGCCTAGCCTTGCACCGGGCAGCAGAACCCCTGGGTCAGACCCAAATGGCCAGCAAGCCCCCCCCCCCATTTTGCCCCAGGCCCTGCACCCTCCCGGAGAGACAGCCTGCTGGGGTGAAGTCACATGATGGGAATTTGGCCCCTTGCTCCCAGGCACCTTTGCAACTCGCTGTTCATTGCCAGCAGGCCTCCGCAGGCAGCAGCTGCGCATTGGGAACCGGCCCCGGACATCCACCCAGTGCACCCTATGCACGTGCACAGCCCCGGACCTACCTGCCCCACACTACACTAAGCAGGCCAGTGCACCCCTGCTCCTGCCCTGAGGCTGTCCTGCTTTCTCCAGCCACCAGGGCCACTCAGGCCCGGCTCCTGAGCAGGGACCACAGCGTTGCCAGTCTATGCCTGGGGGGTGCCACCCTAGAGCCCAACCACTGCCAGCCCCAGGAGCCAGGACCATGCCTCTCCCAATGCCCCTGGAGCCCCTTAGGAAAGGACACAAGTTGCCTCTCCAGAAAATGTGGCAGCCGAGGGGCTAACCCTGCCCACACGCACTCCCCCACGCTGCTGGGTTTGGGCCTGGCCTGCAGCCAGGGGAGAGGCTGGGAAGAGGAGGGGGGGACAGTGGGCATCTCGCTGGTCTGTACTGGGGCCCGACAGACGCGGCACAACAAGCAGCAAGGGAGCCCTGGCAGGCCCCGAGTTGTTTCTGAGCAGCGAGCAACAGGGGCTTGGGAAATCTGCCCCCCCCCCCAGGAACTAAGGGGGCACGTGCTGGATCGGTGCAGCTGGGGCTTGCGCTGCCTTCTGTAGACATGGGGCCATGCCCCAGCATCGAGCCAGAAGCCCATCCACGGCCTGCCTGGCCTGCTCCGCAGCCCCACCGCAGGGTGCACAGGAGCCCAGCTCCCGGGGGTGTTCCCAGGGGCCGCGTTTACTCATCCTTGTCACCCCCATCAGATTTGTCAGATGGCCCCGGGGAGCTCTGGGCCCTGAGTCATGACAGCGGGCCGGGCGGGGCCGGGTGCCCAGATGGGCCGGGGCCGGGGCCGGGTTTGGGTGCTCAGCGG